TGCCATAATTATGTCTTACAATGCTACATGCAGATTACAGTCATAACTTGACGAAGGCCACCGAAACAAAGCAGGAGCCACTAAAATATAATATGTAGTCTGTCGCCTGTACCCGTCTCTTTATAGTCTTTATTTGTTTTCATACTTAGGTTGTTCATTGAAATAGTTCAGTTGATTACACTCACTGGATGTTATAGTTCGCGGATAAACTTAAACACAACATGTTTACTCTACGACTGTTCTCGTTTTAAATAAAATAACTAAACACAAAGGTGGCCTTAATTTAAACCCAATGGGTAGAAATATAGAACAAAATAGCACCTGAGAGTGTTTTAAAAAAGGCATATAAACCAACACTTTTAAGAGAACAACCAGAAAGAATATAAAGCAGCTAATCCTTCGCCATTGCACTCTATTCCTGCGTCAGCATAGATATTAGAAGAGTACTTTTCATTCCAAAAGTAGCAAAAGCCAACGTTCCTGTACTGAATGCACTCACAATTTATATTCCCGATCTACATAACCCGACCGAATAAAAAACACATTCGTTCCTATAGCCCAGTCCAATTTCTTAACATTCTCAATTTCCCTACATAATCTCGGATATAAAGAGCAAAATTGAACTCAAACGTGAATATTTACAAGTGAACATGGCAATATCTCGTCCAAATATACGTGCAACACTCTATGCGAAATTAAAATTGGCTTGAGGCCAATATAATCTTACTGTGGGTCGGTATTTATCGCTTTGGATAGGGCAAAATGGGAGGCATTATGAAAATCAGGAAGAAACTAAGTCTCATATCTGATCGGTACTTATTTTTGGCGTGAAAAGGTACTAGATTTTTATCTGGGTTTGTTTTTCGGATAATGGACTTTATTTATTAACTGTTAGTCACTGTTATTCTGTGTTAAGTAGCTTTACATCTCTTTTCACCGTGTATTTTGATAGAGCTCGATCATAAAACTTGATCATGAAGAACTTTTACTTGCTCTTGTGTAGGAGATGTTGTAGTACACTGTGATGAAAAATACATACATAACATAACATCACGACTTTTAACCCCGAAGGGGTAGGCAGAGGTGTACATTATGCCACTGTACAATGTGCCACCCACTTTTCACTATTTATGTAATGAGTCCCATGTAATAGGAGGCACAATTCCAGACTAAGTGCTACTACTGAGAATTTATAAAAAAACCCAGTAATACTTTGCCAGACCCGGGAATCAAACCCGAGATCCCTTGCTCGGCAGTCGCACTTGCGACCACTCGGCCAATGAGGCAGTCTGATGAAAAATATTAAATATTTAATCTTGTACCTCGCTGCTTTTCATTTCCTAGTAGATAATTGATACATAGCTATTGTTTTTCGCATCCCATCAACTCATTATCATCATCTTCATGTCAGCCACAAAACTCTCACTGTTAAACATAGGCCTGGCACAATAATTTCTATAATTCTCTTCTACGGGGCATAAATTATTGTTTTTAAGTATTAGTAATTATATAATATCATCACGCCTTTTATCTCCGGTAGGCGACGGTGCACATTACAGCACTTAATGCCACTGTACAAGGTAACACCCACTTTTCATTATTTATGTTATAAGTCCCATGTAATAGGGGGTAAGCCTATTGCCATATACCGGGCACAACTCTAGACTCCTTGCTTACAACTGTTTTTTTTAAACCCACAGCCACAGTCGCACTTGAAACCACTCAGTCAACGAGGCAATACTAGTTAAGTATTAGTCTCTTTTCCCATCAACGTACGACGACAACACAACATCTTTATCTACAACCCATCAAAAAACAAACACCAACAAAACATATCTAAACTGCAAGCGCCATTTTTCCAACATAATGTACAATGTCTATTTAGTCCTGTCCACTTACCGACTATATAATTGTATTGGCCTCAAGCCAGGGATGCAGTTTCATCTCTAAATGGCTACGTATATAATTTTTATTGCCTTGCTTATGCCCAAGTTGTGGATATGTTTGTAACACTAGTATTAGCCAAGTCACTGGCCAGGCGATCATTTGACTAATGTGGTAAGTGATTTTTTATTTTATTGTGTAAGTAACAGAGAACTTTTTGGTGTGCTAGATTTTTAAAGAAAGTATTAATATTGTGTATGGATTAACAACGGTAGTTATACAGTAGTGATAATTGCGTATCTAATTAATTAGGAATAAGCTACCGAAGATGTCTCCACGCTCCATAGATGGCGTTGTATAATTTGGGAGTTTTCCTAAATCGCGCCCTGGTTAAACCGCGGCACGCGTTCGGTTAGAGTCTGCCCTCGACGACGCCTTATATCATCAGTTAATTCTTACTGTAGAATAAAATTGACATTTGACAGTTTATAGTATGGAAGAATTGTTAAATATTCAAAGTTATTCCTCATTTTAAAATCTGGCGTTGGAAAAATCGGTCCTAAGAGGTTTTCATGACTATGTGATTTTAGCATAAGTAATTACTTATTTATTATTTTTTTTAAACAAAGTCTTGATTACAAAACCCGAAGTTTAGTTTGCAGAAGAAAAATGTATATATCTAGGTATACTGAAAACAGTTTTATTATATTTTCCCCGTGTGTATGTTAGTTTGAGGCAAAAGTAATTGGAAATTTACCCCTTTACCTTCCTGATGACAGGTCGATTTGGTATTTGGTACACACTTAATCTTGATGAACATACAATGATGTTGTTATAAATATTATAATAGTATAATCCATGTTTTCCTCAACTACCTTTTGTTATGGGTATCAAACTAAAAGGCTTGATTGGTAGAATAACACATA